GCGCAGCAGCAAAATACAAATATAAAAAAAAAATTACGAACAAAAAGTGACTTGCTTTGTCAGTTTGGCTTCCTTTCCGCCCGCTTCTTGATTTCCATGTGTAGATCTGAATTCTGAAGCATTTCCAATGCCGTCCCTTTCCGGCCGGGATGGGGTGGGGTTTCTCGACCTTAGAGGCTTAGACCATCTAGGTGGGAAAAAATAAGGATGATCAAGGTGGATTTTCTTTTTTTACGTGGAGAAAAAAAAAAGAGACTAAGAGAGCAAAGAGATAGTTTTTGCAAAATCAATTGAATATTAATTTTCATTTAATTAAATAATAATTCAATTATTTTTTTCATAGCTAAGAATAATTAACTCTTTCAATTTTTTATTAAGACAAAAAATATTTACAAATAGTTTTATTATTAATATATCAAAGAAAATCATACATAATTGGTAAATTTAGATTACTCTCAACAACATATTAAAAACATATTTGAACCATAGCACATGGATTCATAAAAGCGTATGTTTTTTCCGATCTAAATAATGCAGATTTTCCATGAATAAGACTTGGTTTTGGCTCAGCGTGTTATATTCGATGCGGGTAAGAGAAGACCCCGAAGAATGGACAAATTCATTTTCTTAGGAACACGTACAAGATTCGTCACTCCAAAAAGGATAATGATAACTCCACTACTCACTATTTCATTTATTAACTATTCTAAATTTAAAGCAACATACATCAAACTTCAAAGATTGGGGGTCGGGCCGTCGGGGTATAGAAGTCATTGTATATAGTCCCCCAAAATTGGACTTGGATCAACTTGGTACGTAGTTATGATTTAATCTTTTTGTATTTGATACCATACTTTTGCACGAGTGTTCAATTGAGAAAGATCCTTACTCATTATATCTTGTTTATGATTATTCTTTTCCCTTGCTTCCCTCACCCTCTCATGCTCTTCTCTAACGATCATCAATCTTGTGTGAGTTGTCGAAGAAACCGTCACGATATCATACTCTTTGAGAAATCCGACATTGAAGAATCCACAAGCCTCTTTTTTTTATCACGACTTTCGAGATGATTGATGACATAAAGAGTCGTTGTTGTATGAAGACTGAGGCTCTCATTTTCATCAGAAGTCATGTCTAATGAAAATCCTTCAATTTGTAGAATGCTGCTTTGGGGTTAGACCATTGTTACACGAATTTTGGACAATGTTTGGGGATATTCCAACAATGGTCCATCTTCCATTCCTTCTTGGTGTCATGCATGAAAATTACATATGTTCGCTCAACATAGACAATTATTAATTTATATTAAGTGACAATTATATAACTATTTTAATAAATTTATATAAGAAGTTGACTAACCACGTTAAGTATGTTAGAACTGCTTGCTGGTACAATGGTTGCTCTCATCCAAGCCACATTCCAATTTCCACATTAATAGCTTATCATCTTTACATCCAATTGAAGCGACATCGGTTCGAATGGTGACAAATCCTTTGTTGCAATGTTGAGCTCCAATTCGAGCCCCAAAATGTCGGTGATGCGTGATAATTACCGACGACAGTATCCTCTGAAATTTCATGTCAAAACTCACACAAAGCTCTATCCTCAACCTTTTCAGTTTGGAGTGCGAAAGGGTGTAGATGACATGATGAGAATGGCATTGTGTTTGGAAAGAAGATAACTTTTTTAGGAGAAGAAGTGGGGAGTTGAGAAGCGTAGAAGAACGATAATAAAAAGATATATTTATAGAGCTAAAATAAAGAATATTCGATGGAAAAATGGTTGTTGGAGAAATTTGGTCGTTGGAAGCTGAACCCCACGTTCTAAACACACCTCACACTAACTAATCATTTTTTTTAACAAAACAATTTTCCAACTATATGTGGAGGAGTGTCGGCACTATGCGTGCGCGACATCAACCTCTCATGGCAGTTCCACCCATCTTTCATATAACATCTTAGCCAAATCTCATATCGACAAAGCACGGGAGAGATCCATGATTCATAAATAAGAAACCGACCTTAACTGACAAGACGCGTTTTGGTGGGGTGAGATGAAGGAGTTCTCGTGAGAACTTTGAAATTAAACGTGGTTAGTATGAAGTACAACAAGGATGGGTGACCTAATGAGAAGTCACCTTGAACTGCACCTCAAGTCAAAAACCGTGAGGGTCGAGGTCCAAGCTGACAATATCTTCATCGAGAAAAGATTCAAGATGTTACATTCCCATTTTCGATTTCTTTTATCATTCCCCCTTATTGCGAAGCCAAAATGAGTATTCCTCCAATCCACTCCACTATTTGGATTTAGTCTCAAGACTATTAATCTTCTGTTAGACCAAAGCATGGTAAAGGAAATTGGATCGTACCGGTCGGTTGAACCGGTAAAACCGGAAACCGGAGCCCTTCGATACGGTATCGTGTTTTATTGCAGAATATCATGCCGGCCGGTTTAATCGGTTTAATCCAAAATACCGGCCGGTTTTGGTCTAACCGGGGGCAGGGTAATGGAAAGAAAAACGTCGTCATATTAGTAAAAAAAAAAAAGCCAAATTGGCAAAACCCTATTCAATCAACGAAACACAGCCACTGCCTTCCTTTCTTCTTCTCTGTTCTGCAGTTCTTCTTCAGTTCAATCGGCGCTCCTCCTCTTCTCCATTGGTGACCGGTGACCAGAACCGCCAAGCCCGCGGCAAGGCGACCCGCCGCGGTCCCTCCTTTGCTCCGCTCCACCGACCGGCGAGGCGCCGACCTGATCTGCTTCGCTGCTCCTCTCTGCCAAGATCTCTGCCCTCCCTCTCTGCCTTCCTAGTTCTTTGTTCGTAAATCGTAATGGAGGTTTTGTTTGAAGAGAGAAGCATATTGGAATTCGTAAAATGGAGAGAGAGTGGAGAGAAAATACTATTGGAAATTGGAAATTGGAATAGAGTAGACGAAGGGTTTTCCTTTTCTAGTTGGAAAATTATTGCATGATACCTGAAATTATATTATATGTTTAGTCCCTGCAATATGAAGTTATTTCATTATATATCTATAACTTTTATGTTGATACTTTATTATTTTACATCCGGTATATTCGATATTATTCCAGTTTTACTCCGGAACGGTACTCTGATTTTGCCGACACAAGTTTTTGACAAAAAATATATTTTATTATTACAAAAACGATATTACCGGTATAAAACAGTTGAATCACGATCGTACCACAAAATACCATACCAGAAAGGAATCTGGTATGATATCCGGTACGGTTTCCTTTACCATGGACCAAAGAGCAATGTAGTATCCTTGTTATGCAGACAATAAATAACCATGAAAGTTCATGGGCCTCCCAAGTTTCGGAGACAAGTTGTGAATCTTGGTGGATCCTTGCTACGGCGTTGGGCTTTTGTTTTGAACCAAGAATTAAACCCACCTTGTTTGTTTGTCTCCTTTTGCTGAATTGCTATTTGTCGCCCTAAATTTTAAATCTTTTCGCCCTAAATCATATTACATTGACGTTCATACCCTTATTTACAAAATCGATCCCCAACCCCTAACTTCCTCCCACCAGCCAAATTCAGGCCGTCGCCGCCACCGTTCACCCAACCTGCCGCACCTCCCGTTCCCCCAACCCACCATCGTTGTTTTTCCCCAGCTGATGACCCGCTACCATTGCAGAGAAGGAGAAAGAATAGCACCGGCCGGATTCGCTGTCGTGGCCATTCCCCCAGCAAGTCGACCCGTGGCGATTCCCCCAATCCGCCGACCCGGTGCAATTGCTGAGGAAGGAGAAAGAAGAAGCAGGAGGAAGTGGTCCGAGTGCTGGGCACCCGCTGCGAATCTCCCAATTCGCCGGCCTGCAGTGTGTAAGACATCGATTCCCCAATCCGCCGCTGCCGTTCCCCCAACCCACTGACCGGCTGCTGCTTTTTGGAAACACAGCGGCGGCGACAGAGCATTAAGAGGAAGAAGTAAAGGGAAATGGGAGGCAGGGGAAGCTTTCACTGTCAAGTTCAAGTAGTGATCGAAAACTCTTTCAAGTACAAAGCAGCCAAGTAGTGACCAGATGGAGATAAAGCCCAAGAAGTTCAAGTAGATGATCGGTCACTACCGGCGACACTTCTTCCGCGCAGCCGGCGAGCCCGGACGGGTTGTATTGGATAGTTTTTTTTTTATTGATTCAATTTTAGCGTTTAAGTGTTCCGAAAGACAAAAATAAATTAAGGACATTAAAGTAAATTTAACATAATTAGGGCGACGAATAATGAGTTTTAGGGCGACGAATAGCAATCCCCTTTTTTTGGGGTAAATGCCACATTTGGTCACTGAGATTACTAAATTGTGTCATGTTTAGTCACTAGAAAAAATTAATATCAATTTTGGTCACTCGAATTGATGAAACAAGTCACATTCAGTCACTCTCACGTTAGCCTCCGTCCAACTCCGGTCACTCGTATTACTGAAACATGTCATATTTAGTCACTCGAATTACTGGAACAGGTCACATTTAGTCACTCTCCCATTAGTTTTCGTCCAATTTCATTAATGGAGCTGGGCGGAAACTAATGAGAGAGTGACTAAATGTGACCTGTTTCAGTAATTAGAGTGACCAAAATTGATATTAAATTTTTCTAATGACTAAATATGACACTATTTAATAATTTTACTATTTTAGTGACCAAATGTGGCATTTACCTTTTTTTTTTTTTGGGAATGGTAAAGCTGGAGACGCGGGGGAAGAATGGAGTTAGAGAACATGTGTCACCATCCATCCGTTTTTTCTACTAATTAATATATAACAACATAATAAATACTAATACAAGAATGAAAGAAACACGACCATCAACTCCATGGCTCATCCATTGACCTCTCAAAATCTCAACGGAAATCCAGAAGAACCTTGCTTTTTTTCCTTCATCTCTCTTTACATATAAAAAAAAAAATCTCCATTTTTCTTTTCTAACTGACTCTTCTTGAACAAAAATTTCTTCATCAAGAAATTCCCACTAAAAAAAAGATATGGGGTTTCCTGTTGGGTACACAGAGATAATCATGCCAAAGATTTTCGTACGTATCTTTTACTTCCTGGGATTCCTACGTGGCATTTTCATTTCGGTTTCCACATTTCTCGGCCTCACCGATTTCATCGACCCCGCCGCCGACGACATCTGGCAGGACTACTCCCCGCCGTCACAGTCAACGATGATGACGATTCAACACCACCACCGCCTGCAAAATCCGCCGCCGCCGACCACCGCGATGATTCGCGAGATCCTGCCGGTGGTGAAGTTCGAGGACTTGGGGGGCGATCGGCCGGAGAGCTGCGCGGTTTGCCTGTACGAATTCGGACGACGGGATGACGTCAGGTGGCTGGAGAGCTGCCGGCACGTGTTCCATCGGGATTGCTTGGATTGTTGGATGGATCAGGAGCGGTCCACGTGTCCGCTTTGTAGGATGTCCTTCGCGTCGGGGGAGTTGGATCGACGGTCGTGGGCCACGGTAGGCAACGTGGGCAAACGAAGGCGGTTGATCTGCTAAAAAAAATTAATATAATTAGCTAAACTAATATATACCCGCTTGTATATATTATATATACATATCATATGGAATGGGGAAAAAAACGAGTTGAGGAAATTGGATTCTGGTGAACTCTCTTTTTTTTATTATAAATCAGTTTCCCATTTTTCCTTTTATTTAGACTTTTAATTTATTTGAATTGTGTCTGTCTTGATCTTTCTATGGTTATTTGTTGTGTTAGCACATCTGTTTTTGGATTGTAAACTGCAAGGCAATGTAAGAGAAAGATAGCTAGTGAAGATTGTTAAATGCTTGTATATGACATAAACATGTTTATATATGAACACTTAGTACTATAGTTGTAACATATGTAAGGTTGAGCATCTACGGGTTTCATAACCCAAAACTCGCACCCAACCCAAGAGAGGCGAGTTCAACAAAATAAAACTCTCTCTGAATCTTAAACCTTAATTGGGTCGAGTTACAATTATTTTTTCCACCCATAATTTCAGAGGTGTGGTCTAGGGTCCAGGGAGAGGTACATAATCCCTAGTTACGCACTTATGCATAAGCATATCTGGCCTCTTGATTTCGAGTGAGGCCAGATCTAAGCAATGAGATTTAAAGATCTTTTATTTTTTTTATTGTTTAATAGACTTGTATCTTCTTCATTTTTCTTATCACTTTGTTTCACAAAAATTCGTACCATTTTGTATCACTTTTGTTTTTAGCTCAAATTGTGGAATTTTTTACACAAAATGAACAAGGTCATTGTGATCTATTACGATCTAAAAAAGAGATTATAGGTGGTAAATAACAATTAGTATATTCCTACTATTAAAGTGGATGCAATTTTGAGAGCACGATTAATCTAATTATTATGTGAAAAAAAAACCGAATTACGACTAAAAAAAGAGATATTGCCCGTTAAAATTATTTGAGGGGAAAAGTTTATTTGTCTCCATGGACAATCAATGAGGGTTACTAATGGTTCTGCAAAATTGAGTTATTGACCGGTTTTACTCCCCTAGTCTCTAGGCTATGGATGGAGGAGCTTGGTGAGTAGTAGTAGGTGAACGATTAGGTTAGATCTTTTATGTTTATGTCCCGATATAAGGAAAAGGTAATTTAACAAAATACTGTGTATTTGTTAAGTTTTCTTTCAAATAAATTATTTTTTAATGTTTAGGGAAAATTTTATTTTAAACCTCCCGAATTCAACGAGCTTGTTATCCGATTAGGGCTTGGCTGGCCATGCTGGCATTTGCGCTGATGTTTATTCTTATCCGGGTAAATCTAACAAACCTACCTGAAGTAGGGAATAACAAAGGATTATTCATCCGAACCAATAAGTTGTGATAATTTTGCCACCCTAGTTAGGTTGGAACCAAAATATAATTCTTGGTTCTAGGTAGGGATGGTAGTTAAACTCAAATTTGCTTATAATCCAACCCAATCCGATTCAGTTAAACCGGGTGAAACTCGATACTGATGGGTTTTATGTTGTCTGCGCATGTTTTGCCTGTGTTTTTGGAATAGGTGGGTTGGTCGATTGCAACCGCTATTGTCAAAACCCGACTCGCGCACAGGAAAAAAATGACTTTATTTTGCATCTAACCTTGAAAATATAAAAATTTCATTAATGTTATTAGTCTTTATGACAATATATAAACCTAATAATATGGATAAATTTACGGATCATGTTATTATTCATCTTGTAGGAAAAATTTCGATAATATAATCATAAAAGAATGTGGGTGTTCAAAGGAATTATTCGCTGTTATGCCTGTGAATTACCCATAGATATACCCATGCACCAGTTAGGTTGAGTTTTCTCTTCCAAAACCCAATAAGTATATTTTTATACCGATTTTTAACAGGTGCACTCTATGAAACAGACTCGACACTAAGAAATTTGACCTAACCACGTCTGTTTGTAGTTAGAAGTTAATTAAATACACAACAAGCATTTGCTAAAATTTTTACACGAGTTATTCTTAGGAAAAGCACAAAAAAAAGTGATCAAGGATTGTACTCCTATAGATGGTAAGTTGGGTATCAAATTAAATTTTTCCATGGAAAAAAAAAAAGTAGAGGATGGTATATCTACAATGGATTTTTATGTACATTACGTATGCTAATAATAGAGAAGATGTATGTTATTTCGTCGTCATAATATACAAAATTATAATCACTTTTTGTAGTCCGGCGGTGGATAAGCACTCGGCGGTGGTGGGTACGACGGAGGATATCCCGGCGATTGATTGTATCCGCCCGGTGGATATGCATGTGGATTGTATCCCGGAGGCGGAAGAGGGTATGATCCGGGGTGAGGGTATCCTCCCGGCGGCGGCCCATATCCCGGCGGCGGCGGCGGAGGGTACCCACCGCCAGGGTAACTGGCCGGCGGGTAGCCGGTGCCGGGATACGGCGGCGGTTGGCCTATGCTGCCGCCTTTCAGGTTCTCCTCGTAAGGTGGATAGTGAACCGACGGGGGAATTGGCTGGTCAAGGCGTGACATTTGTTGCATTGGAGGAACGGCCATAACTGGAGGAGGACCAAACTGACCATCTCTTTTGTCCATTTCAACTTTGTGTTGAGTCTGCATATTTGTATAATCCATTACCAAGAATGGTTGAAGCTAGCTTTGTGAATGTTAAATGTATATATATGTAGTAGAATTCATCTAGGGTAAAAGTTTTGAGGGTTGTAGTTGAAACTTACTTGAAGGCATGGACAAACCCTACCCAAATAGAACAAAGGGCACTGGATTAGTAGGTGCCCCTTTTGGAGATTCTCTTAAAACCGCATTGATGATGGAAGAAAAAAATTGAATTTCGATCGAGTACTTACGAGCAATAGACGATGTCGGACAAGCAGGTCAGGAGGTCGGCAAGGTCTCCTATTTCGTCGATGCCGGTTAAGCATGCAACGCAGGAGCATATGCAGGCCAATTGTTGGAGGCAGAACATGAAACCCTAGATGGGGGGGGGGGGGAGGATGGAAAATCGTGTTAATATTTTGTTAAAATCCCAGACACCAGATAAGTTTATAAAAAAAAAAAAGAATAAGAAAGGTATAGGTGTAGTACTATCATGCAGTTGTCACATGGCGAAGTCTGAATGTTGAATTCATCTTGTAATAAGAAGCGTGTAGAGGCAACTGAATTCGAGAAGCAACAAAATACCTAATATATCGTGAGCCTTTTTGTTAGTGTTCTTGAATTACACACAAGTAGAGAGACCAAAGAGGTCCATGAATTGTTTTTGTCATATTGCAAAGAAATGAATAATCACATACTCAAAATGAACGGCGTTGGTTTTTTTTATCATTTATATTTACCTCAGAGCACAGACAAAATTCAGGGCAATTGCTTTCTCCACAGTTTCCACTGCATGGCATGTAGCCAGCACAACATGTGTACCTAATAAAGCATGGTTGTATACAAATTATGAATATTGTTTTTTCCCCCTCCAAATTCCATGTGTGTTCTAAGACCAGCAGTTCTAGCAACCAACTCGTTTTTTTTCCTTTCAAATTGGAAATACACTATTATCTTACCGTGACAAGTCATTGTAAAGAGCTCGTTTACGCAGAATGTACGAAGCACATGGTCCACTATACACATAAAAAACACAAAGTAAGAAAAATCACTTATGATGGTCAGAACATCCAATCCAAAGATAGAATTTCCGAAGAGAGAGAATTTAAAACACATTTTGTGGTCTCAAAATTCTTTGAATTTGGTTCCTTGCTTGGCCTGCCATGTTCCCTTTTTCCAACATATATAGGAGGTTTTCCATTGAGAAACTATTGCATTCCTCGACAAGTAAATTTAAAAAAGAAAAGGTAAAACACTAACCAAGAAGGTAGAAAGAAAACTCACCATACCAACGCAAAACAACAAACTGCATAGAGGGAAAAATAGGGGGAAAAAGAGATCAGATAATTATATAATGATACATTAAGGATTTAGAGAATATGAAATGATGAATACTACTAATTGGCCACTGAACAAACCAAGGTTTCTATACGAGTATGATATAAAACAAGAAAAATTAATTGTGCTATGCTCGATACATTTCCACGAAAAACTTGAACGATGTGAAAATCAAAAAGGTATATATAGATATAGTTGATACTTAGATAAAATAAAAAATAAATGATAATGCAAAGAGTAAAACCAAAACAAAAAAAACAAAAAAAATAGCAACAAAGACTAATGAATTATTTGTCAAAGGTGTTATGAATGTCATGGGAAATAGTTATGGAAAACTTACAAGGAGCATCGGCTCCGACGGCACCCAAGAGATCGGTGTGCCACATATTCCTATAATTCTGGCGCAATTGCATTTGCGCCATTTTCTCGGCGGAATTCATCTTGAAATCCCAACGTCAGCAAGATGATAAACAAAGAAAGATTAAGATCACGAAGAGATTTCAAGAGTTATTCCGAATAAGAAAAAAAAATAGTACAAACAAAAGGGGGTAAATATGTACGAGGATTGAGAGAGGGAGGGAGGAGGAAAGGCAGGATTCTTGGTTTTTATAATTCCTTGTCGTAGTCTTCCAAAAATGGGAGTGGATTATGGACGAAACAACAGAAAAGAGATTGGGAGGATCGTATTGCACATCAAATATTAGCCTAGAAGAGTTTAGCATTGTTAATCTTCATAAGAAACTTCAAATTTATTTAGTATTTTTTAAAAAAATGAAAAAATGACATTAATTTCATTTACCTAAAGTATGTCGTACATGGTTGCGTTTCAGGCAATGCAAACCATGCCATTCATGGGTCTTGCCTTCACAAAATTATTGCAAACTCTAGAAGGTATCAGAACGCCCGACGCTTTAGGGTTCATACAATGGTCTCGACTCCACTGTCGATGAGTTGTGGATGCGCAAAAAACACCACAAGTTAGGGAACAGTAGAGGTACTTCCGTACTTGTGGAGGAATTGGAGCTTTTCAGTTTCGATCTATTGATAATGAGCAGACAATTTATCACATGTTTAAAATCACCACCTTTGGTAACCCTCACTATCTTAATCTCAATGAAGGTTTAAATCGGTCTATTGGATCATACTTTTTATATGGCACTAACTATACTCATTGTGCTCTATCTCCTCCGAACGAAACCAACTGCGCTAACATTTAACTAGTGTCTAACTGAGTTAAGTTTGTGTGTAAGTGGTAGAGTAGAGAGATATGGGATTTGGAGGATTCAAAGTGAAAATTATTGACCAATTCAAACCCCCTACAATACTTCATATTGGGGGAAAATGGCTCTTCTTCCTTTTTATTCATTTGGTTTTTACTGGTTGGTTTCATTTGGGAGAGAATGATTGAAGCTTTTAGACTTAAAGGTAGATGACACATTTGGTAACTGATATTACTAAATCATGTCATGTTTAGTCACTAGAAAAAATTAATATAAATTTTGTTCACTCGAATTACTGAAACATGTTACATTTAGTCACTCTCTCGTTAGTTTCTGTTCAACTCCATTAACGGAGAGTGACTAAATGTGACATGTTTCAGTAATTCGAGTGACATTCATAAGGGAAAAAAAAAAGTAATTCGAGTGGTCGGAGTTGGACGGAGGCTAACGGAAGAGATTAAATATGACATGTTTTAGTAATTCGAGTGATCAAAATTAATATTAATTTTTTGTAGTGACTAAAGTAATCCCAATTACAAAGTGTGGCATTTACCCTTTATAATGACATTTGAAATTCATCCTGGTATTTGAGCTAAATTCAAATCCAAAGAATCCAAATACATGCTTGTAATCCTTGAATGCTGAATTCCAAATCGCTCTGCTGGTTGATGATAAAAAGAAAAAAAATTCCAAATCTCAAATACATGGCCGAAAAGAAAATACTTCGTATAGTCTAATGTTCATACTCCTATAAAGAATAATTCGAGGACTTGAATTGAAAGGGAAGCCAACAGACAGGACCACAGTCACCATATAGTGTCACGCAACAATCAAATTTTTGGTTGCCCCCGAAATATCAAATAGAGGGCAAGTCAATTACAAGCAAACATGCAGTCACGCAAGCAGAGGGAACTTCTCAAGCCACAGAAGCCACCATCAACGCCAACAACCGCTCCCAAAAGAGTGGGATTTTGTAAGATCTTCACTTCAACACGCTGCGGGTTTCGAGAGCAACATATAAGTTACATAGATCATAGATGTGAAGATTCATAATACATCTCATTACGGTGTATGGTCTGGCTTGAAATAGCTACTAGCCACCTAATGTGATTTGCAAAAAAGTTTCAGTAGAAATAGAAATGTCACCAGGTAAACTGCTTAGCAAGCAATTTTATGAATTTATACAACCTTGAATCTAGCTTTCAAGTTGGCTAAAAGCCTCTAGTGGCAGATTCAGGAGCTTCAACTAGGTGCACAGGGTTTGTCAAATTTACTATCATGACGGTCGACTAGAAATTGTTTGACATTTGCTTGTTGATGTATTAGTTATCCACTCTGGAAGACGGTTGCTGAAATATGCTGTATTACTTTTTTTTTTTCCCCCAGTATCCTATACACTTGTATCAAAAGGCAGGCAGTATACACATATCGATAGACTACAAGTTATCTCGGTCCGAGTAGAGAGACTCACTTGTATAAATAGGCAGCAATGCCCAACACGAGGCACAAGAGGATGATGTCGATACAAAAGTTGCGGCTGGATCTTAGCTGAAATGAAATCCAAATAAGAGTAAATAAGGTGCAAGACCAGTGGAAGCAGAGATTGGGAAAAACATGTGTGTCCAACATCACAATAGCAAAGAAGGCATTTTACCTGGTTTACAGTATCTTTGAGTCTCACATTAGTATTTCTGAGGTCCGATGATGCTTTATCAACCTAAGATTATATGACAAAATCCAATTATGCCGAGATGCAAACCTTGAGATTGTTCCAAGACTCATAAAGAACAAAAGGCAAGTTGAGCAGCAATTCGTCCTCCCTGACACCAAAAGATGCAGTGGACATTCTACATAGCATTCTCCAAGATGCAATATAAAGATAATAATCTCTCTTTTCATATATAGCATATTTCCAGTAACTGGTTTTTACCACGAAAATCCCTTCACTTGAGTGTTGAACATGACCATGGGGATACTGGGTCCTGATCCTAGGATCTAATACAATCATGCCATTCATTAATATTGTTAAGCCTCCTATCTCGAAACCTAGTTGTAGGGTTCAGAAATTTTCCAACATGCATACCTTCAGAGAACAAAATGCACAAGACAGGAAGCTATAAACCAAAAAAACAGTGAATTCACAGATAAACCACCACCTTATTGATGCAATACTCTGAGCCTAAAGGATAAAGATAGTTGATACAGTTACAAAACTTATAGAATACCTTCTCGTCAATTTCATCAACCAGGGGTACTTGTCTTTCCAATTCCTGCATAAAAAAGGCGGAGGTGGGAGATGGAAAAAACAATCTAGCGTGATGAAACAATGTATAGAAAGGACATCAACAATTATTTAGATAACTGTATCAAACAGACCTCATTCATATCATGCGCCATGTCCTTTAAAGTATCCAATCCTTCAGCTATAACATCTAAACCTTCATCCTGCGCAGAGTTGACAGTAACTTAGATAGATCACCACTGGGTTTTTATCTAGAATGAATCATCAGCTTGCTCTAATGAACCATGAATGACTGCCTCTTCCAAAAATTGCATCAAGTAATTGCACGGAAGTTTCACCCAGCAATGCAGATTCAATACACAGTAAAGAGTTGACAACCAATTAAGACGACGCACCTGTTTCATTTTACGCATTTCGTATTCCTGCCTGAATCGGTCGGTCTCTTCAGTGTTTTGGAAGTAATCACTATCAAAACTGCCATCTGAAAAAGATTAAGAAACATGGTCATTTAGAAGTCAGTTAAGTAGGTTATCAGTGGTAGAATTTATGATCAATCCGCAAAAACATAATGTAACCAAATTAGGACTTAACACAATCAATTTGCTCAAGAAAAACAAATGGTGAAATAACTTGGGACAGTCGATTGATTACCATAGTTTGAATTAAACTTAATTCCAGTAGATGCTGAAGCTCCTCCATTGCTGCTTGGTTGGGCTGCAGTCGTGGTTCCATCAGGCACCGACGCGATCCTATCTTTTAGTGCAGAAACCAAATCACTGCGAGCCTCAAGCTCTTCCCTCGAAAGACCTCTGACCTACAAGTAGTTGTTTGATCGCATCGCCAATCAGCTAAGGCAAAGAACTCCAATGACCGGAATTCTACTTAATCAGGTTACAGAAAGTAATGACAATACCAAAAACAACAACAGTTTTTCCTTTTCTCCCTTCATTTTCCCGCGAACCAAACAGAACCATCTCATCACTGGAACTGAACCAAAGCTCAAAGGGGGAAAAGAATCGAAGAGAGAAATGAGAAATGATACCTTCTTCATAGCAAGTCGCTGCAATTTCGGAATCTCGTCAAGCAACCGAGCTTTGGTCCTCCGGATCTCGGCATTGATAGCAACAACGGCAGCCCGATTCTTCGCCGATGCCACAGACTCCGCTTTCTGGAAATCAAATCAATGCACAGAAATTATACCGCCAGATTCGGGATGCTTCAACATTCGGTCCTTGGTAGAAATCAGTCAACGCATCAAACAGAAAACAGTTTGAAGGAGAAACAAAATCGATCACCTCGATTGTGGAGTCGAGTTCGGCCTCGACTACGGCGTAGAGGCGAGCGAAAGCATCATCGCCGGAGACGTTAAGTTCAGCTTGCTTATCCACATCGTACTTATCGAACTTCCGGCAAATCGAGTCGACTCTAGTTATCAGATCGATCACGCTCATCTTCCTCCTCTTCGTCCTCCTTCTTAGACTTGTTTTTCTTCTCACTTGACAATGTCGTCGTCTTCTTACGTGAATGTAGCTGTATTACAGTTGGCAATGGTGTAAAAGACAGCGGAAGGACTGCCGGCCGACGGAACCGAGGGAGGGGAAAGAAGGAAATGAGCGTTTTGTGGACAAATTTAAAAGTTATAAACAAAGGTTCCCTAGCAGTAATATATTACGAGATATCTCTATCTTGATTATGAATTAAATCGAGTTTAGAGTATGGTTATATTCTAATCTTTAATGGATAAGTTCCAGGTCCCGATTCTCCAAACTCAAATCCAAAGTTCAATATAATAGAAAATATTAATTGACGGTTGAGATTGATCAGAGTTTAGAAAAAGAGATCTCATTTAACCCAAGTAAAAACCGAATTAGCTTACCTTGCGTATGATATTTCATAATAGTTTCTCAAGCTATAGCAACGCAATCACAGTAAGGTAACAAAAGTTTAAGCGAGGTAAGATAGTGCCTTGTGCATTGAGTTCCTTGTATAAGTTGGTCAATCTTCTCTTGCAGATTTACAATTATAGCTTACTAAACTTCGATATAAGAAATTTCACGCGTGTAATGCAATCTTAATATTCCTAAGAGATTTAACAATGTCAT